ATACAATTCACCACCTTGACCTTATAGATATCTACAGAGCACTTCACCCAACAACAGCACAATATACATTCTTTCCCAGTGGACTTGGAGAATTTTCCATGATAGACCATATGTTAGGTCATAAAGCAAGTCTTAATAAATTTAAAAACATTGAAATACTGCAAAGCATCTTCTCAGATCACAATGCTATCGAATTAGAAATCAACACCAGGAAGATCAATGGAAAAAGAGTAAACACATGGAAACTGAACAACACCCTCCTTGAGAAAGACTGGATAAGAGAAGAAAGAAAAAACGAAATTCAAAAATTCCTTGAACCATTGAGAATGAAAACACAACATACCAAAATCTTTGGGACACAGCAAAAGCAGTGATCAGAGTCCAATTTATAGCAATCAATGTACACATCAAAAAAGGAGGAGCCAAAATCAACACTTTAAAGCAACATCTCCAACAATTAGAAAATGATAAACTTCTGTTCATTGAATAACATAATTAAAAAATAAAAACGTTAAACAGACTGGAGCAGATATTTGCAACACCAATCATCATCAAAAGGTTGGCATTGTGGCTATTGAAATCAATGTCACGAAACAAAATGTGTACGAACTTTTGTATGGAAAATGAGTTTGCTCTGTAAACTTTGACCCAAATCACAATTTTAAAAATAGGTTGGTATTCAGAAAATAAAGACCTCCTCAAGTTACTAAGAAAAATAATGATAAATTTATTTATTATGGACCTCAGTGCTTAAGGAACTAGAAAAAGAAAAGGAAATCAAGTGCAAAAATATCAGAAAGATAGAAATAACAAAGATCAGAACAAATATAAATTAAATAGAGATTATAAAACAATAGGGAGTATCAACAAAACACAAGCTGTTGTTTTAAGATTAATAAAATCAACAAACTTCTAGCTAGACTGAAAGGTAAAATGAGAAAGAAGATGCAAATATGTAAAACAAAAAACAAAAGGGAACATTACAACTGTACAGAAATAAGAGAATACCAACAAATTAGATAATCTGGATGAAATGAAAAATTCCTAGGAACACAAAAAGTCAAACAACCCCCCAAGCCCCTGTGGAGAAGGTAGGAAAGAGATACAGTCTAGTAGTTAATCTTTTCATGACTAAATTATTTTCTACTTTGAACTTTTTGTTGGTACCATGTACTTTCATTAATGGGAGCCATGTTGAAATCAAGAGAAAAAACTGTTGAGGTAATATGGATTTTAATGTGATTACATGGCAGACATATGTCCCAAGTGGACTCTGGTAGCAGGATTGGTGGAGTATGGCTTGTTTCTTCAGATTCATGCAGTCACATAGATCCTTGCCAGGAAGAAGCTCATACTACAACTTGGATATCAACTTTCCTGGAAAGTTGAGAGGCTGAAAATGTTGATGAGTGATGTATGTTCCATAGGTCATGGAAGGGTTAAGATAATAGGCTCATAAACTCAACTGTCTGTGTTGACATTATCACTCTACCACTTTTCAGTTCTGTGACATTTTGCAAATTAATTCACCTTGCTGGGCCTCAATTTATACATCTGTAAAACTTGGATAAAAAAGCATGTCCTCAGAGCCCCCACTCTAAACCCACTGCCATCGAGTTGATTCCAACTTAACAACCCTATAGAACAGAGTAGAACTGCCCAGAGTGTTTCCAAGGCTATAAATTCTTTTGGAAGCATACTGCCTCATCTTTTTCCTGCAGACTGGCTGGTAGGTTCGAACCACTGACCTTTTCGTTAGCAGCCAAATGCTTTAACCACAGCACCACCAGAGCTCCCTGTATCATCAGAGTAATGGTTCCCAAATTTATCTGCACATTGGTATCATCAAATATACCGAAGCCTGGGTCTCACTCTCAGAGATTATAATTGACCTAATGGTGCAGTCTGGGCTTTAGAATCTTTAGGAGAACTCTAGGTGATTTGAATATAGAGACAAGTTTAGGAGTCACTGTCTCAAAATGTTGTTGTGGAGGATTTAATGCTCACAGACTACATGGTAACTTACTTTTCCCTGGCAAGTATTGGCTCACCAAGTGATAGTGGCAGGCCAGGACAATCTGAAGGCTTATCTCGATCTCTGTTTCCTCATCTGTAAAATAGGGCTAATCATATCTAATCTACAAAATCAATACGTTTTAAAAATTATAAAGTACTGCTCAACAGCTTATGCACATACATACAATCTTCACATCACACTCACCACCTTTTGCAGAAGGTCCCATGGTAGTTTCTCTCACCTTTATTATCACTGCAGTAAGGGAGGGTAGTAGTAGGAGGGAGAAGCCTAGGTCTTCCCAAGAGGGAGGAAGGACAAGGCCTGACCCAAAGAGTAGAGAAATAAAAACCATCCTTATAAGCACCTCCTAGGCCTCAATGGAGAGCTCTGGTGGCATAGTGCCTAAGGCATCTGACTGCTAACCAGAAGGCTGGGGGTTCAAATGACAAGCAACTCCTCAGAAGGAAGACCAGGCAATCTACTTCTGTAGTGATACTGCCTTGGAAACCCAAAGAGGGGTCACTATGAGTCAGATCAAAGTCGACGACAGTGAGAATTGAGGCCTAGATGCCAAGCAATCCCATGGGCATTAGTATGGCCAATGTGGGGCCTACATTCATACTGAAAAAGTTGTCCTGGATCTGTGGAAAGGGCATAGGCTATTAAGTCAGACAGTTCTGTGACCTCAGAAGTAACTTCACTTATTACCTCTTTTATAAAATAGGTATAGTCGTATCCACCCCCACAGGATGTGAGGATGAAGTGGGATCAAGGAATGTAGAAATCATGGTGAGGTATCTTACAGCCATACACCCATGCCACAAAGAAAGATTAAGTCACAGTGAAGTCTTCCTAAACTTTATTGGCACTGAATAGAACACAAGTTGAGCATAAACACCTCCAAAAATGGTTTAATCGCTCCTTCCACCCCAAATACAAATGGGAAAAAAAAACTGAATACAAAATAAAACCTTTCTCCTCAGCCTCTCTGGGGGCACTTAGGCAGCTAGGTTTCCATACAATTCCAGGTATGAATTTAGCCAATATAGGGCATATCACAAGGACAGTGTCAATGTTAACTCACAGCAAAGCTCACAAGACTTCCCAAGGTCAGACAGGGAGAGAGGGAGCAAGGCAGGTGGACTCTGGGCTATGGGCCCTGTATGGAGGGACAAAATGTCTCCTTGTAGACTAAGCCCTGGGAAATAGGAATATAACAACAAAATATTAAGTAGTTTAAGAATGGATTTTATGACCTATAGTGACAAGTGACATCACTAATACTGAAAGCTTCTTACATTAATATTTCTGTAAAACATCCTTTTATAATACAGTATACACTTCCCAGGTGTGGGGTAGTAAGAGAATGAGGCCAATATAGTCCTGCCTCAAGACTAATATCTTCTAATGGTGCATAAGAAATCAATATTGAGCTAGCTACCACTGGAATATAAAATACTGGTAGAAAGAAAAAGAGCACATATGAGACACAGGAAAAGGAGGCTGCTCTTGGGTTGACGGCAAGGGATGGGGATATGGAAGGGATCAAGTAGCCCTAAGCAGCTTCCTGGTTTCCATTTCCAAGGGTTGAACATTTGTCAGAGGCAAAGAAGAGGGTAATAGGAAGGAGCTGTTGGGTAACTGAAGGGGATGAGCAAACTGTGGGATCAAGGCTATGGGCTTTTCTCATCATACTTAGCTTTCTTTCACCCACCTGCCAATTAAGCCACCTGGTACCACGATGTCAAGGCCTAGATGGCATTGAAGCAGGAGCTGTGCTCCAAGTAGCTTTGATGGTGGAAATGGTCTGGGACCCTTGGAAAGAAAAATACTGGAGCCAGGTACAGAAACAATTTTTGAAAAAATTGCTGAATGGGGCTAGCTGGGTTTTGGGGTATCCATCCTTACTGTTCTAGTTGGAGGGGATTTGAGGATGATTGGGTGTGTGTGGAGCACACACTTCTCTCAAGAAGAGAAGCAACATCCCAGTGACTCGGGATTGTAAGGGTGCCTCTGCCCATAGAGCTCACTTAAGATAATCCTAGACTCTCATAAAGCACTGGGGTGGGCTCTTATACCAAGTTTTGTCTGAATAGAAAGGCCAATAGCCTCCTGGGATGTTCATAAAGCCTCTCAGAGGCACCATTACCCCCATACCAGCCTGGGAGAAACCAAGTCCCTGAACTTGGCTTATTGAAACTGAGTTTGTAACAGGCTGAATTTGGGAGGTAGAAACAAGAATGGCTTAACATTTCTTTAACCTTCAACCACTACAAAGCCTAAATAACTCTAGAAGAGATATATATTGGAAGGCCAAATCCAAGGTCAATTGACATCCTAGAGCAAATTTCCAGGGTACTGCTTCCTTCCATAAACCCCTTGAATAATACTCCAACTCCCTAAGTCACAGGACCCTGAAGAGGAGGACAGTAATGGGGTAGAGGAGGTGGGCTAGTTTTCGACCTATCCTACCCTTGACTACCACAGAACAATAGTAAATGTAGGAGTGTTTTCCTAATCAAGTGAGAAGTGTCTCTGATATGGAGAAGTGATCTCTCCTAGCAGATTATATTAAAGGGAACAGAGAGGGGAGAGGGAGTCCCTTTGGCACCAGAGTGGGCTCTTTTTCTGCCCAGGGAAATGGGTGGCAGCTGAGGGGCCAGGTCTTAGAATGACTCCAGGGCTGCTCTAGTTAGTGGCTCCAGTACAGTGTGAGTTAGGCAAGGATACAGGAGTACAGGGACAAGGAAGGAGGAGGAACGGCTCTAGAAGCAAGGTGCCTACTACATGGACTCAAACTCATCGATGCGCTGCTTTGTGTTGCCCTGCCGGATTTGGCGTAGGGTCTTGTATTTGTCTCGGCCTAGCCGCATGTTCTCAGCATGGATCATATCATTGGTAGTCTTCTTGGACTCATCACGGGCATTAGCCAGCTCTGAAGTGAGGGCCTGTGGGGAGGCAAAAGGATGCAGGGGGTCAATGGCTTCCTATCACTTTACCTCTCTTATCTGACCAGATTTCTCTCTCTTTTTGAGAGCCACTTTCAGTCCTGTTAGGATTTTAATGGGTTTGGTTTCAGTCCTGTTAGAACTGTAATGGGACAAAAATTAAAATAAAAAGGGAGGGTGGTAGGAACCACATGACAATGAGTCTCCTCACAGAGTAGAACAATGTACTAAAGATTCAGATAGGAATTGTTTCAGCTCTATTTCTGAATGTAAGAGCTATGTGGGTTGGAAGTTGGGGGTGGGAGGAGGAGAGAGGGCAGGTCTCAAGAAGGAAGAGGAAGCCTAAGGCCTTATTAATAAGCAGGGGCACCTGCCATTAAAGGTCTCATGTTAGAAAAGCTCAGGCTCCCATAGAGCACTGGGTCAGGCTCCTCTAATCATCCCACCACAATGAGCTAACAAAGTCAATGTTCTCCTTGACCATCTGGCTCTGCCTGCATACCTTCAGGTGCTTCTGCACACGCTCATTTTTCTCTGCCTCAGTGGTACGTTCCTCTTCACTACGGTCCTTGGCCATGGCATCGGCCCGTAGATCAGCACTGGCCTCTGCCCCATTCTCATCCTGCTCATCCTGCTCATTTTCAGCAGGTTCTGCTACATGAGGTGTACTCATTGCAGTCTTCAGCTCAGCACGAGTCTTCTCCAAGTCCTCCTGTACCATCTGGGCCTGTCCAGTAACAGAGGGAGAGAAGGATCAGCAATGAGACTAGGTTAATTTGCAGTGTCCTATACCAGGGGCTCTGGTGGCATAGTGGATAAGGCTGGTAATCAGAAGGTCAGTGGTTCAAACCCAACAGCTGATCCACAGAAGGAAGATGGGGCAATCTACTTCTGTAAAGATATACAGCCTTGGAAATCCAATGAGGGTCACTCTAAGATGGAATTGACTCAATGTCAGTGAGTTTTTTTAGTTTGCTACATGCCCAGCAGGAGGCAGGCACTGCAGACAAGTCACTTCATATTCCTCATCCTTAGTTTCCTCAGCTGTAAAATTTTATCAACTTCTCAGTGTATTAGACAAATCTGGGAAATATTTGAGAAAGTCTTCAGCTCCTTCTCCTATGATGCCTGCTATCAGGGAAGAATGAAAGCTGGAGGAACCCCAAACTTAAGGAATCAAGGGAGTCAGAACTTATGCATGTAGTACCCCCTTCTCATAGTGCTTTGCTTTGCTTTGGGCACTTTACCTTACCTTCTGCTGCCACTCCACAGCTTCGCTCTCCTTCTTCTGTCGGGCCATCTCCAGCTGGGAGATCCGAGCTGTCAGCTCTGCCATTTCTAAGGCCTGTGGATAAAGCATGTATGAGAGCTGGGCCTTCAGTACCTGAGGCCCCAGATGTCTATAACCCCAGATATCATAAGGAGCCAGTAAGGAACCTACTGCTCCACTAATTTTCTGCCCTGGAGGCTCTTTTTACCAGACCATTCCACCCTAGCCCCATCTTTCCCACTCTTCAGGTCCTAGCACAGTCCTCCCTCACTTGTCCCAGGAAGCCCCATGGGGCACTTCTATACTCAAAACTACTATAAAAAACACAGTAATAATAATAAAATTTAATTCATGAAGTTCAATTTACCTGATACTATTGTCATTAATGAAGGAAGAACTATAAAACATACACTTGGATGAATAAAATCAACTTCAAATATGAAAAAAAAAAAACAAAAAAACAAAAAACCACCCAAACCCATTGCCATTGAGGTGATTCCAACTCATAGCAACTCTTCAAATTACTTCCTATGGTCATTTCTATCTCTTCCTCATCTCGTTCTCAATGAGTATTGCCTAGTATACAGTTGGGGCCTCAGTAAAGCTCTGGAAATTGCTGGATCACTACCTGAGGCAGCAGACCTTTCACTGTTATCCTAGAATGCTCAAAGCTCCACTAAGACTTTCCTCAAGACAAGTATAGGTAAGATATTAAACTGTCACAAAGGGATCTCAACAAGGAAAAAAGCTTACGCATATCCTCACACCCTGAGCAAACCCCCCAGGGGAAGCTTCCTTCTGAGAGATAGGCCTTAGTTCCTGTGGTGTAGTAAATTACTTAGTGTGGCTTTTCTACCCATAAGTCTTTGTAAACTCCAAGATGGGATTTTCTATGAGCAACTGAGGAGCTCCTGATTGCTGAAGTTGTCTACCTGGAGTATTTCTGTTGGGTGTGGCACAAAACAATGTTCTGGGAGGTGCCCACTCTCTCTCAAGTG